GCGGTCTTCCGTTGGTCCTCTCTGCGAACCGGGATCTGCCAGTAACCACTTCTCAAATCGAGAGTCGAAAACACTCGTGCACCAGCCAGGTGCTCTTGCACGTCGTCTGGCCGGGGCACAGGGACGCCTCAGTATGGCATGCCTTGTTGAGGTTCCTGTAGTCAATACACATCCGGACTTTACGAGACAAGGAAAAAGCAATGCAAAGAATAGATTGAGATAAGGACTCGCGTCTCTCCATCAACCCGCAAGCTTGGTCTATGGTCCTTGCTGAGACCAGGCTCGCATAGAAGGCCCGCAAACTAGGTGACCGGGCAACCGCACGTGCTGCCCATACTGCCACCACGCGGGCCACCTCTATCTCAATCATTGCGCCCTGCGGCTTCTTGCGGGCCCCCACCGCCTTGTACTCCTAAATCTCCTGGCTTTCCTCTCGGCTGTCCGCCCTCACCAGCGCCGGCTGGTGGCCCATCTGCGCCGCTGCCGGCTGCTCCCACCGGCCCTTTAGCTGGACCGCCTGCAACCGACTGGCCACCCTCAGGGCCCATAACTTCATCACCTGGACCAGCCTCTCCACCGCCAGCAGGACCACCGCAGCTCCAGCTTGTGGGATGTCACGGTGCGCTGGATAGTCCGGTAGAATATCTTCCCTAGGCTCAGGCACAACAGCCTGGCGTGCAGTGCCCAACCAGTGCGCGGCTGAATGGCCGAACACAGAATTACCAAAGTACTGAATGTCTACCATAGATTCCTGAATATCGCATATTCTCAGAAATAAGCGAGAAAATGTAGTGATCAGGTCTGTGACACAGGTACTTCTATCAGGTAAGCAATCTTCTATAACTTAATTGCATCGGCACAAAGGAATGACATATCACGACCAGTTTCTACCGGTACTTTCCCTGAGTGAGATTACTAAATGTGAGTCACTTCAATCTCCAGACGAATGACGACAAAATATTCCTCCATCTGAACTTGCTTCCCGTAGCTAGCCGGTAGCTGTCATCAATAACGAATAAGCACTCACCCATGAGCAATACTGCACCGTAGAGGGAGAGACTCCAGTAGCGACCAAGGCAAGCAGCCTGAGGCACGACGTGGTTGATCCAGTCAATATTTCACACACCCGTATCGTGAGTTGAATCGTGAACAATCGCACTCATCCTCAGGCGGCTTATGAGCAGAGTTGCCTAGAAGACAACTGCTTCCCTGATTGTGACAAGGTCGAAAGCGGCTCCACCAGTGCTTCTCGCTGCGAAATGCAAAACTAAAACGTAGATCAACTTCATATCTTCTTGACACTCCCTGTCCCACAGAACAATCATTCTTCCACAACGACGTACTATGCTACCTGAGGCAGCAGTTATATTAGCATTACACGGAAGTAGGTTCCTGTAACAGTAGTAAACACCGGAAGGAGAAAGGGTGAATGAAATCATTGAGACCTATCGTTACTTTTCTAACAGGCTCGACGGATAGAGCGGAATGCTGAGCGTCCAAAACCGTTCCATGCGGAGTTGGATTAAATTAGAGTCGTGGTACTCGCTACATTCATGGTCTGCCCACTGAAGACCGTCAACCTAGCAAAACTGGACTCCTTGGATTTTGTACCGCACTAGTGGAACCCCGTCGCTACGTTTCGGGAGTCGCTACGCTCCAAGGACAGATGGGAAGGTATGAGTGGATAAAGTAATAATATCCTTGAAGCGCAGATTTTGGACGATGATAGAAGTAAGATGTACGATGTTCCGAGAACTGAACGCAATAGAGACAGACATGATGCTCCAACGTTTCGCCACAACGTGAACAACCTTGGCATGCTGTTATGCAGTTGTGAGGCATCAGTCGATATTATGAGCTCGTTTGCTTTTCTTGAGCCGCATGGATGTACGATGAGGAGGAGATTTTGATCGAAGTTGGACCTGAAAGGAAATGGTACCCTCCGCATATGCCAGCTTGCCAGGCCCAAGGCCATGCAGATCGCAGTGGATGTGATAGCAAAGAGGCTTCTGGCGGTAGAGCGGTGTTGGTTGGTTTTATGGTGGAGTGTGGCTATGCAGTTGCCCGTGTGCCTCGTCTCTGGTTCGAACTCGAACTCAGCAGTACTGATAACCATCCCGAGTAGTGGGTCAAAGAAGGTGAGTGCCAAGGAGTGGTTGAATGTTTGTTTGGAGGCTTGTGATGGCAAGGGAGGTGGAAGCTCTATGGAGGCTCAGGTAGTAGTATGTTGATAGTGGTCGTTGATAGAGGGTGTCAAGGCCAATCCCAGGAGGCAGGCAAGGTCGTTGCGAGCATTAAAGCCCCTAAGCAATGGGTTGTAGAGCACTTCGAGTAGTTCATAGGCCCACTTTGATTGTGATGTCGTGTGTGTATCGTCGGTATTCACCGTCATGATGGTGTCACCAAAGTCTGTAATAATCGCTGGGCGTACAAGGATGCTCGTGTAGGAGGGTCGTTGGATTTTACACGGGTAAAAACAGTGAAGTACCGGAGTTTTTCCCTCTTCGGTGATCATCATACTGATCGAGGTGCCCAGGTTGAAAGGGCGCGGGAACGTAAGGCAGCATGTTAGAGGGGGGTGTTCCATAGATCTATCCTGAATTTCAGTAGCGCTCGCAGGATTGAATTTAACGAGTTCGATACGATCCTGAGAAGCTCTTGAAACTCAGGAGAGATCTATCGAACAGGCGGAGGGTGCAGTAGATGGTAACCTGAGCTGTATGATGCACTCGAACTCTTATTGTGTTGATCGATCCTACATACCTGCGATGGTATGCATCAATCGTCGACTTCTGCTCGGATATAGTACATTCTCGTTATGCTTTTTGATAATGGTGACCCCACGAGCAACGAAGGGAGGACTCTGTGGCACATTATCTCAACATGTATCAAATCATTTCTACAGGCCGTAGTAATAGTAGTGTCGTGTTGGTAACCATATCATGGACAGCTTTCATCGCTGAGTGTTACTACTATGATGGCTACAGAGACCAGCCAGGGTCAGCCTATAGTGCTACCGGGCCAGAAGAGGTAGAAGTGGGGGGGGAGGACAGTAGCTGGGTCTTGCATTGATGAGGACATGACCCTTGTAGAGATGGGACTCCCTAGGTGTGACTTTTTACACGCTGGAGAACCAGACCTCGTTCTGGTTTCTGAGGAGAGGCCTCTGGCAGTAGCGGAGTACTTAAAAGGACGAATACGAGCTTTCCGTAGTGTGGGTGGCGAGCCCCTTAGGGAAGTGATGTGTGAAGGTCTCCTCTTAGTTCGAGACCCGACTCTGCCGGCCCTTACTGACCTCTGTCGTGTCCCTTCTGGAGTTAGTCTATCGCTTTGGTGTATCGAGAATATAAGGTAATACACGGAGTGATGGTGGGGGCAGGAAGTTATCAGTACTGGTGGTAGTCTATAGGCCCACAGGGGTTGAGAAAAGATTGTTGCTCACTATACATTCCTCTGCTGAGATCTCGTGCTGTCTTGCATGTGTTGAGCTCAATGGTGATGTGCGTGACTTAGTTTCTACTCGAGAAACGCTCGATGGTTGTCCTTCAGGGAGTTTATGGTAGAGTTCAATAGAGTCATAGCTGAGGTCCAGTATGAATGCAACGAGGACACTTGCCCGAGGATGAGCGCAACTGACGAGTGGCACTTCCTCTGTGCCGCCCATAGAAAGCCCATGGACGTAATACAGCTATCCCTCATCATAAAAGGACCTCTTCCTAAGAGGGCCATGTTGGACATCATGATGGTGATGATATTTCTCCTCAGTGCTGTGCTATCGATTATATGGTGCATACTGTGGACGGCTCTACCAATCTTATACTCAGTTCGAAGAACTTCCCGGAGAGAACAAAAGTCCCCCAGAGTAGTTTAAAGGTGATTGTGGTAGAGGTAGGGGTAGGTGGCAGAATGATATGTTATCGCTCAGTTTATTCCAACACTGTATCGCCGTCTATATCGTATTTTTGGTCATCTATTTCATCACCATAGAGCCTTTTTCTTCAAGGTTGAGGGCCAGAGCAGGATGTGCGCCAGGTTCACCCAGTTCGTAGGTCTACTGCTGGGGTGAAGTCCCGAACTCAGTAGCTCTCACTAGGTGAGGCTCCATGGCTTGCTTGGGCCCTCAAGTTCTGGTGGAGAATCCTCCAGGACCGGCTCGCCAGTAGAGTCGAACCTCTACCTTGTTCCTGATGCAGCCATTGGACTCTCCCCTGCCTCGCCACCATCGAGCCCATCATCTGAGGTGAGTCAACGATCTCTCCGTCACTGCGGGTTGACGCCTTTTTTATATCAGGGTGAATCGAGGGCTGACCCCATTGGGCCGATCGATCGAGAGGAGGCCATTGGAAGGGAGGAGGAGGAGGCATCTGATGCCGAGACGGTGATCCGAGATGACGATCCTGCCAAGTGATAGCATATAGAAATCATTGCTTGTTTGCAAGGCCTTGTGTTGGTATACCATAAAGGAACTCTCTGGAGGAGGAAGAGTTGACGGACCACCTTTCATCTGTTGTTGCTCAGCCTTGGTACCATATGAGCCCACACTGTGCCTCTACAATAGTCTCTAATGATCCAGCAAAGAAAGCATGCCGCGATATGGGGTCTCGCAACTACTGGTCAAAGCCCGCGGTGAGCGGTGCATTAATGGCGCCCTGCATTAATTTTAAATTCAACGTTTTTTTAACATGGATTTCAAAAAGGTTTGAAATTTGGCTCCGGGTTTTTCAAATTCTAAAGGCAACTTTCGATCAATTTATTTCCAAGTTGGGTATTCTTGATTATCTCGAAATCGGATGTTTTTGAATAGAACTTACTAAACTTCATATTAGAAAGTCCGTTCGAGTTGAAGTTGACTGCGAATTTAGCTGCCTGACAACAGATTCAAATTGAGGTTGAAAAGGTGGAGCAGAGTGAGACTAGAAGATCAATATGCGTCAATTCAGCTTGGTTTTGATGATCTCTGTGTTTTACCCTGATTGTGTTATTGTTTTTTCAACATCGCCATCATGACAGTCCCCTCCACTGCGTTGCCCTCGTCTCGAGAGGTGGCCATAGCGATGTGCTCAGAGGACGATTCCGCATTGACTAACATACATGCTGAATTCAGAGCAGTTCAAGAGGCCACAGCATCATCTTGGCTCTCATCCGTATCTTGGATGGAGACACTCACTGAGGCGCTCGTACAGAACGCTATAAGTGGCATGCGAGGCGGTGGGCTGCTGCCAGAAAGGGTCGGCCCTCGGGAAGTGGCACGTGTGCTCTGCCCTGGTATCATACCCAGTGGGGCTCTCGATGACGCTGCTGTCGAAGCAAACTTGATATTGGCTATTCGTCTTCTGGCACGAACGAAGGGCGCTGGTGAAACTGCAACGCAGACTGTCATTCCTCTTGCAAGGGTATGTTCGGAGCCTCTTAGTAGTCGCCCTTTGGAGCTGTCGAGCCGAGTTAAACGTCTGTTGCCTCCTGTGCATAGGAGGGACCTTGCTGGAGCGATATCTGCTTTGCAGATTGGTGTCTATGTGCAAGATACAGATATAGTAGAGGCTCTGATGAAGACTGTTCATGGTAGCGTACGGCTCACTGAAAGGGACTTGGCTGTTGCACACTTCTGCGTGCTCAAGTTCGCCACGACCAAGTCTCGAGAGATTCTCGATACACTTCGAGGCCTATGTTCCGTAGAGGTTGATCGCACGGGAGAGTTCATTGCAGAATTCCTCATCGCCTTGGATCTAACCCACAGCTTGGCCGTTACGAAGCTGCTGAGCATGTTAGATGAGGAAGTTGTGAATTTGAAAGGCCGAGCCCCGATGCTGGAGTACGCTGACTACTTACCCGCTGGGGCTAGCGTGGCCCATCTACTCCTTGTTTGTTTTGATAGAGGAATAGGAGGGGTGTGTGAGGTGCTGCCTCATGTCATGGCACGCTGGCAAGCTCAGCTTGCCTTACAGCAACTTGACCTCGGCCCGGTAGACGTGCAGTGTCTCGACCTGGTGGGCACTGCTCCTCTGTTACGATGCTTGCAGCCATTGAGATTAACAATGGGGGTGGGAGAGGGAACAAGCTGTCTTGTAGATGAGATGATGAAGTATGGCGCGCGACGGTCATTCGCCATCATGGCGATGTATCGGCATCTTGGTAGGAGAGTTCGTGCTCAGCCACGAGCTGGGTGTAGATGCAAAGTTTGCTCGCAGTGGTTGGCACTTCCTCTGGACATAGAACCTCTCATCTGGGCGAATCTAGCTCGGATAGCTCAAGGCGATGATGACGAAGTGAACAGAGCAGAGTGGATCAAATACGACAGATCACAGCAGCTTAACGAATTGTTGGTATATCGAGATGAAGATGTTGATGATGACCAGACAGTCCTTATGAAAATGGAGATGCTCATCGATGAAGGCGCCGATCCTAATATCCCCTTGGAAGGAAGTAGGAAAGTTGACATGGCTCGACATGCGATTGGATACTTCTTGTGATAGGATGGGCGAGCGTTGATAGCCTCTTCCCCATTCACTCGTGTACAAGTCCAGCACAAGTGAGATTACTCCATCGAAACGGCGCTGATATGAATGCCCTGTGTCAAGGACAGACAGCAGCTGATATTGCTGTACGCCTCGACTCGTGGTGTTGTCGTATCACCACTTTGCTCAGCTTATCCGAGGCGACCAGGAAACCTGCAGATGCCTTCTACTGCTTGGCACTTCCCTCACTTCGAAAGGCGTCCGACGGCTTCTGTCTCTGCCGAGAGAACGTGCCCTAGCGACGTACCCTTCGGGACGCCTGCTCTCGACTGGATGGGCGAGGAAAGTCGAGGTAGGCGACCTGCCCAGTCGAACTTCATCATAGCTCCGCCAGGTTCTGAGCCAGCGAGCTCATGCAGCAGAGACAGCTCTCTATAAACTAGGCGGGCTCTTCTCCAATCTCGATAATAGACGAGTGAGTGTGATCTCTGGGAATCTGAGTGGCTCTGTATGAAATATTGCGATTTTTTCTCTAGGACGTGGAGACTCGAGAGCTTGACTCAAATATTCAGCGGCTGGAAAACGTGGTCGAGGTGAAGAGAGAGCAGTTGAGCGTGCTGGAAAGGGACGTGGATGAGGAGGTCAGCCATTACATCGATGAGATCTGGCTGAACTCCGATACGATTTTCAGAATAATGTTGCTCGCCAGGGCCGAGCACTTGCACGTTGCAGGCGTAAATTAGCATGCAAGTGTGGAACAAAAGTTCGATACGCCACTGTTGATTGCGGTCACGGCCTATGTGAAGATTGCAGATGCAAAGCGGGAGCGCGATGTCCAGATTGTGGACAGGCGATTCCGAAAGGATTTGTTCAGCTCCGTTTCCTTTGTACCAATACGTATTCCCAGTTTGTTGCGTTACGTGGGATAGCTAGGTATCGAATTGTTTGATCGTCTGAAGCACCGCGTATCCTTCTGCCATATTTCTATGCATAACTAGGAAACACTAGAATCTAGTGACTAGATGATAGAGCAATTCACAGGGGTGGACAATGATCACCCGCTGGAAGATTCACCTGGAAAGCCGTATGGTTGCACTTTGCACTTACGTGCTATCGGGGATAGAACGCTCCACCCCTATACGCGTAAGAAGGTATAGCATAGTAAGCTCCTTCAGCATCTCCGTTTGCATCACGTGTGAGATTCGAACCGCCGACCTCCCACTTGGTGAATGAATGTTCTACCAACTAAGCTAAGGAATGACACATCGATTCGCAGGCACAAGATGATGATTTTGGTACACAACTCTTGCC